AGAGTGTTGTTCAGCATGGGGGTGAGTAGAAAATGAAGGCTAATCATGTTTTGGGTGTACTATTCCTTTAAGCTTTAGTAATGCAGTTTTTGTGCAGCTTTGATTGGCATTTCTTTTAAACAGAAAAGCAACTTTTTTTTTTCCTGATTTTGAAATAAAACTTTCTATAAACTATAAATAATGTTTGATAACTATTATCTTGATTTTTGCATGAGATGTAATATGTAGAATAAACAGCCAGCTGTTAAGTCTGTACACAATGACCAGTGTGCTTGTTTAAATTTTAAATGGGGAGAGGTGACCTAGTGGTTAGGGGATCAAGAGGTTCTGAGTTCAAGCCCCACACCTACAGACTGCCAGTCTGGGTCTCTGAGCAAGACCCTTAACTCCCACACTGCTCCCTGGGTGCCGCACAATTGCAGCTCACTGCTCCCTAAAGGGATGGGTTAAATGCAGAGAGTGAATTTCGTTGCCTTGTACTTGTGACAGTGTCATGACAAAGTTGAATTTCTTTACTTCTATTTTTAAAAACTGTTGCTCATAAGGATGATGGGTTCTACTGTATGACTTTCTGAGACCTGTGACCTTTCTTCTAAGCAAGGACATGTGCTTTCTCTCATAACCGCCCCTCACAGCTAGCCTGCAGCAATATGGGGGGGAGGGACAAGAGTTGTTTTGTTTTTTTTAACTTTATTTCAAAATTTTTCTGGCATCTCATTAAGAGAAGTTTAAACAGAAACTGAATCAATTTTGAAACTTGCATCTATGGGAAACAGACTCATTGCTGATACAGACTGTAGAGGGATTTATTCATCTTTAAATAATGATGTCTGACCTCCTGTATTTTTCTTTCCATCCTATTTTTCTTTCACCGTTATCCTGTTTCCATTCTTTATATTTCCTGAGCTTGTCCTTGGAAAGCGATTAGTAATGAGAGACGAGGGATAAAGCATGAAGTGTTTTTAGTTTAACTCTAAACAGGATTGTTAATGGATGAATTAATGCATCAGGAAAATGTTTCATCTATATTTTTCCTCTGCTTATGAATATAATCTTATCAGATGTTAATGTTCCTCAATGACTATGGAACAAGTAAAAGGAGATTTGATGGGAAACATTTATTCTAATGATATGCAATGATTTAATAGGAACTTTTTTTTAGATAACTTGAAAGGCAACAGCATATTCAGTAAATTTCGACTTTGATCTTCATTATTTTTTATTCCAGCAACCTTGTAAACACTGGTTTTATTTACTTTGTTTATTTTTGGCTCTTTTGTTGTAAATTGTTTGAAATGACCCGGTTGGGTTAAACACAACTGTTTACATACAGCTAGTGTTGGAGCACCTGGAGGCCATCTCTCCAGACCGAAATGACCTGCTGCACGAGCTGCTGCAGGACCTGGGAGATGTTCCTGATGTAGAAGCTCTGCTTGGTACTGGTTTAAAACTCCTGACTATTAAGTCCTAAGTTCTCCACATTTCCTCGATTTGCAAACTATGCTGCTGTACTTTTAGGTGAAGGAGCTCTAGATCCAAATGAACCAAACAGAGAAAGCGCTCTGAGTCAGCTGGCAAAGACTGAGATCTCTCTAACACTGACCAGCAAGTTCGAACTTCTGGAGGGAGATGAGAAAGACTTGAAGACCCTCATGACAAAGTAAGTCAATGCTTAGAACTTGGGCATAATAATCTTATATTTATCTCATTCTGAGGCTTTGAATGCAGCTGTGGGCGTCAACTGCAAAACTGTCAGCAAAAATCGCACCTAGTCAGCACTGCTCTGTTAGTACTCTGTTTTCCATTGGCTTTTGTGAGACAATTGGTGCGTCTTTGCAGGCGTCACTCAGCTACATATCTTTGTTGTCTTTCCTGCTCCTCTATCGTGTTCTGTCCACAGAGGAAGGAGCAATGGGGCTGGGGTTATCTACCCTTTAAACATGCATCCTCTTTAACAGCCTTATGGAACAATGCGGTTGCTCTTGTCCTGTCTTTCAAGCCGCGCTCACAATGTCAAATAAATAGTGAAGACGCAGTAACTTAGATTATACTATTAGCATGTTAGCTGGAAATGTTCCCCATATTTTAACTGCAGCAGGTCTTCAGTCAGAATCAGCTAGATGCTGTCTTTACCTGCCATATAGTATGATGCATGGTGCTTGATTGATTTAAAATAAAATAAATATTTTTAAAGTAAAGCAAAAAAGACAGTTTATATCTGTTTCTGTCTACTTACTAACCTACGTGAGAAATTTGCAAATGGCCAAGGCGATGTCAGCCTTTCAGGAGGCAGAGGAGATCAAAGAAGAATGTTTAAAAGGTGATTGGGGAATTTTTTGAGGGCTTGACATAATACTAAGTGCAGATATCAAAATGGGGTGTCTACATATATAGCAAGACGAGTTAAGATACATTCAAGAGTATGCTAGTAGAGAGATAGACATCACCTCCTCTTCTGTTTTCCAAAGTGTAGATTATTAATAAAAGATTGCATAGATATATATAACAAGGCAGTCCTAATATTCGATTTTCTACATCACACACTAATTTCAAACTTTTTACTCCACAGTATTTGTGGTTTTTCTAACTAAATGTATGCAGGTTACTCCAAAAAAGAGAGGTGCCGCTTTACCATCTAGAATGCAAAACAAAGCACTAACACTGGTATTTTTAAAAATAGGAAGGGGACCTGTGATCAGAGCAACTTGTTGTAAGCATTATTTTCGTTCACCTCTGGAAACAGCAATGCTTCATTTTCTACGTCAACCATGTTTTTTCCCTCTGTGATATTCACCCTGCCTGACATAAATTGGCAGAGAAATATAAAGCTTTAATTTTATATATTGTGTTGGATCACGGATGATGTAAGACTCTGGAACACATCCAACGAGAGATGATTGTAAATCAAGTTATAAAAAAATTACATCAGTCCTCTGAGAGGACTACATTTTCATTCCTGAAACTCTTAGAGTGGTTTCCATCATGTTTTCACAAAGACGACAGCTCCTCCGGTTTGGTCTAAACAATATGACTTCACTATTGCTTGTTTTAAAACTAACATTTTGTTTCACTTAAAGATGCTGCTTATTTTCTTTCAGGACCAAAAAGCTGCTTGTTGATGTCCTTCGGATCCAGCATGGAGAGACATTACCAGACATCCTTGAGACCCCAGCTACGGCTCCACAGGTCATATCTTCTATTTATCTCGACAGTTACTGTAATTTACCCAAATGGAAAAATGTTAAAAGTCTGGATTATTATTTATGTAATTAATATAACATCTTTTTTTTGTTTGTTTCTGAAGGAATCCGAGCATACAAAGATGGTCCAGCGTAGGGCGGACCAGGATGCTCAGACTCCAGAGGGGCTGAAAAGCAGCCCAGCAGTGTTGGAGGACAGCCAGCTGCCTCTCGAGCAAAAGAAGAGGAAGATCTTAAGAAATCTCCGTAATATTGAACAGGCTGGCCTCGTCACTGCCACTAACAAATTCCAAGACATCATCAACGACATAGCAAAGGTTGAAAACTACTTCATTCTGTCTGTTTGAAAGTGCAGGCTTTATATTCCTCCAGTTAGTCTAAATTGTATCAAAACTGATCTTTAAACCTTTAATCGACAGGACATTCGGTACCAGAGACGCTACAGACAGAGGAGAAAGGCAGAGCTTACCAAGCTTCAACAAACACTGACGGCACTCAACTCCAAAACAGCCTTTTTCCAGGAACAGATGAATTATTACGACACCTACATAAAAACCTGTCTGGATAACCTCAATCGGAAGTCAGTGTGGTTTCTTACCCTTGTTAGATTAATTAAAAAAAATGTATTTAAGTATTTTTAGATCTTAGTCCTGATGTATTTTGACAGATGCATCAAAACGAAGGTATATAAAAATATGTTTTTTTTTTTTGTGTTTTAGGAATTCACGCAGGTCCATCAAACTGGACCGCAAAGGAGAAGAAAAGGGCAGTAAGAAGTGGAGGCCTCAGTCTCTGAAGTACACAGCAGCCAAATTGCATGAGAAGGGAGTCATATTGGAGATAGAAGGTCTTCAGACAAACCAGTAAGTTTTTTGGTTATGGATAGAGACTCTCCTTTAGGTCTGCGGTGCCTTCCAGAGGTTTTCATGACTTTTATCGTATTACCGTTGCAAACCTTGATCCTTATTAGGATTTTATATCATTTAGTATGACAAAAGTGGATGGAAAATGATTTATAGTTTTTGAGCATTTAAAGAGAAAAGCAGCAGGGTGTTCATGTCTGTACTAATATAATGTTGTGTTCTACATCAGGCTCAGATCACGTCTGTAAAGATCAGCTTATTACAAGGATTGAGATCTATCAACATGATTAAATCTAAACATTAGATTAAAGCTCTCTGTGTTTGTTTAGTTCAGTTTTCCAGCCGATAGATTAAGCTCCACCCTGGTCTAAACTCCTTTTCAGCTTCTAACACATCTTATTTGGATGTTTTCTTCACTTTGAACTACACTATTTGTTGCTCCCCTCCCATATTTTGTTTCATTTCGGTTTAGACTGGCCAGTCCTTTATCTTTTATTACTATAAACATCATTGTTTACTTTCTCTCAGCAGCAGCTTTTCTCTTGCATTTTCTACCCCCATTTCGATTGTGCATCTCTAATCGCTGTCCTGTCAGCTGATCCTTCTACCTGATCCGGCCATCTCTGCTGGTCCTTCATGGTTACCATTAGGGATGCACGATATAATCGGCCCCCTATCGGTATCGGCCTTAAAACTGAATATCGGACATCGGCCACCCCACCGATATTTAACCCGATATTTGATCAGCTTCTGAGTTTGTAAAGTCTAAAAAAAAAAAAAATACTACTTCTTCTTCTTCCTCAAAAACTTCTTTTTTACAGACTTAAAAACTTCTAAAGACGAGGGAAAAATATTGATACATTTAAAAACACCATATCAATCTCTTTTACTAATGAAATATTGCTATATGTCATCGTTATGCTACAAAATCCCCCGAAAATTCACAAAATTTTGCCATATTTTTATATGTTGATATATCGACGCGGTATCGATCTATTTTACTAACAAAATCTTACAAGAATTTGCAAAATATCACGAGAGTTTGTAACAGAACGATGAAATTTCAAGAGATTTTGAAAGTAAAATAGATCGATACCGCGTTTTTAAAATCAATTTGATATCAGCATATGAAAATATATTTGAGTATATTATTTTTCAAAGTGTCAGAAATGGATAACAAAACTGCTATTTTCAAAGACTACTTATTTTTGTCCAGCTTTAACATCGATATCGGTTATCGGCTACATGAGTTTTAAAATATCGGCATATCGGATATCGGCCAAAATCCCAATATCGTGCATCCATGGTTACCATGCCTCCTTTTTTAAATTATTGCTATCTTTGTCCAACCGTCTGGTTTAGGTGGAAGGCCTTGTTTTGGTTGATTTTTGTTTTTGCTAAATTCTAAGGGCTCTACTACAGCTTCTAGGCCTTTAAATGACAGTTGGCCTACTACTCGTGTTATTTTTACAAACAGGTGGACCCCTTAGGTGGCTTTTGATGGTATATGATTGCACAGGATGTTTTTAGAGATGTTGGATTAAAGGCAGCAGACTAGACATGTAGGCCATTCTACTGTGTAAATGCATTACTTAAGGAAAAAAAAGTACAATGCATAAAAACAAGTATCCTATACTTTGTTTTGGTCTATAAGATTCCAACAAGCTACATTAAATGTTGGGTTGAAAGGTGACAGATTTTGGAAGTTCATCAATATTTCTGCCTTAGATTAAGGTTTCAAAAGGTTGATTTAATTTTTTTGGAGGTGATAAACAACCATGTGTCAATATCAATCCAGGAAATACTCTTTGAACAGGTCTACCAGTTCATTCTGTGTGAAAAAGAATGTTAAAGAATCATGCTTTGAGGCTGAATCTATTAGTTTGGTCAAACATTGACTTCATAATTCCGTCCCTTAAACCAAGGAAAAAGATGTTAAATAATAAGAATTTGCTTTCTTACCTCCACAGGTTCAAGAATGTTATGTTTGACATTTCTCCCACTGAGGAAGTTGGAGATTTTGAAGTGAAAGCCAAATTTATGGGTGTTGAAATGGAAAAGGTCCCACTTCATTTCCAGGTACTGTGAATATTTCTAACGTGTCTGAAATTAGTGAAAAGAAGAAGAAAAAAAGTCAATCCTTGACTGCAGTGACCGAAATGTCCTCTTCCTGTCTTTGGTTGACTGCAGGAAGTGTCCATTTTTTAATGAAATCTCCTTGTGAAAGAATAATCCTAAAGTTGTTTAAATGACTTATAAGTTGTTTGCTTTATGTCCAGGACCTTCTTCAGCTGCAATATGAGGGCGTGGCTGTCATGAAGATGTTTGATAAAGCCAAAGTAAACGTTAACTTACTCATCTTCCTTCTCAACAAGAAGTTTTATGGAAAATGAGCACGGAAGAGTGAGCGAGAGAACTACTGGGAGCAAACAAATAGTGCCTTTGGAGTTTTTGAACCAAATTATAAAACATCACCTGCTTTTAATTTAATGAATCTGAATCAATTGTCAACTTTCTGTGTCTGTTCAGTTTATTTTCTGTGTTGATTGTAAATGTAATGTACTTTTTAGAAATTAAATTGTGATGGAATTCATATTTTATATGTAAAAAAACAAGAAAAAGGACCTTACATGTTGGAAAAAACTAAAATAGCCATTACTACAGCTTACCAGTGCCTTTTAGATATATAAAAATGGGTTTTAAATCAATATTAAAGCTACAGATTTATTTGAATGTTACTATTATTAGTATATAATTATCTGAAAATCTTTGACCAATGTACAAAATAAACTCCATATGTTAAGACTGTTTTTCTCACCTCTGTTTGAGATTTAGATTTTTTAAGTTTATTAAAGCTGAGCTATTATAAGGATAAAGGCATTATGATAAAATGAAATGTAGAGTTTGTAACTGGCAGTCAGACAGAAATAAGGAAGGAAATGGGAAAAAAAATATAAATTTCTGGAGAAAAAAAAACATTTGAAGCTGTCAGTTTCAGTGATCATTCATTTTCTCAGTAAAGAGGAGGGCCACAGGGCCGAGAGGCGGGGTGTGTCCTCAATGCTCAAATTTTCTGAATATCTGCAGACAAAAACGGCTCAGAAACTGAATTCTGACAAACCGATAATTTTAGTCCAGCCATCAATTATTGGAGGATCTACAGCAACAGGATGTTTCCTCAAGCTTTCAGCTTGCTTGTTTTTGCTTTAAGTCAAAGCTCAGTATACTGCACAGAAAATGGTGAGTACCTTTAAACTTCACAGAACATATGCACGTGTGCAAAGATGTTTTTTTGCCTATGTCTTGATTTATAAAAGGCAAACACTAGAAGACTGAATTTAAGAACTAATTGAATCGTATTGAGTTCACATTCAAATGCACTGGATTTTAAATATCGGATATCTCCCTTCTGAACATTGTTTTTAATGGTGTTTTGATAAGGGGATAAGAACTACTTCATCTGAAACCAAAAATTTAATTTTTATGAAAGGTAATTTTAGTTTAATAGGTTATTAAAGTGCAAATGCAGTTTGGTTTAAATCGGCTCCTTACAAGCTAGTTTGAAAGAAATGGTTTTGGTAAGCTGCAAAAGGATGTTTTAAAGTCAATAAAATTACCCTTAAAAAAATGAAAGTTTCCATTCAGCTGTTGAGGGCCTGTAGGTTGATTAAATGCTAGAAAACTGCAGCACATTTTGGTTAATGATGTAACACAGATATGCATTCAGCTTTGTTTCTGGGAGTGAAAACATGGTGGAAAAACCTAGCATTTTTTTAATGCACTAGATGAGATATTATGCCAGCAATGTTTGCTTTGAAACATTAAAGCCTTTATAGTTGGACACCAGATGCTATTGAGGGTTATACATTTTTTAAAAAAAATCTTTGTGTCTTTCTTAAGGCTCTGTGTTGCTTCCTCGGACTTTCTCTGGTCGCTTCGTTCTGGTAACTGAAGAACCTGTGGACTACATTGACCTGTCCGCATTGGACAGCGATGACGATGGCTCAGGTTTTGAGGCCGAACAGAAAGTGGTGAAAAAACACGGCCACCACCAGCAAAAGCTCTACGTTGTCTCCAAGGAGGCAAAGGAGTTTCTCCAGGGTCGCCTTTCAACCAGCTTTGTCCCAACAGTTTACACCCTGGTCTTCATCATCAGCGTGCCTCTCAACCTTCTAGCCATGGTGATGTTTGTCCACCGCATCCGGCCAAGGAAGCCTGCAGTGATCTACATGCTGAACCTGGCCTGTGCTGACCTTCTGTTCAGTCTTTTCCTTCCATTTAAAATTGCATACCATTACCATGGCAACAATTGGATCTATGGGGCTTTCCTGTGCAGGATTGTCACAGCAGCTTTTCATTGCAACATGTACTGCTCAGTGCTGCTCGTCATGTGCATCAGCGTGGACCGTTTCCTTGCTGTGGTTTACCCCATGAACTCCCTGACATGGCGGAGCCCTCAGACTGCTGCAGCCATCTGTGCAGCCATGTGGCTCCTATCCCTGGGAGGAGTGTTCCCCCTCCTGCTCTCTGGACAGACGCTACATTTATCAGACCTTGGAATTACTACCTGTCATGATGTGCAGGCTGTAGAGACCCTACAATCTTATTATCTCTACTTCTTCCCCATATACTCTTCCATCTTCTTCTTCATACCTTTTGTCTTTACTATTGTCTGCTATGTTCGAATCATTCAGGCTTTAGCAGCAGCCAATGTGGAGAACCGCTCCAAGAAGACTCGGGCTATAGTGATGGCTGTGGTGGTGCTGCTTGTGTTTATGGTCTGCTTCACTCCTACGAACATCATCCTGATGTTTCACTATGTTTATATTAGCCACTCATCCAGTGATCATTCCTACCAGGCCTACCTGTTGTCTTTGTGTATAGGCAGCCTCAGTTGCTGCCTGGATCCACTCCTGTACTATTATGGCTCCTCTCAGTGCCAGAAGCAGATGGCGGCAATTTTTAGGTGCAACCAACTTCCACCAGCAGAGAGCAGCTTGGACACACACAGTACCCATAGGAGTGGATCAAGCAGCAGGTCCTGTAAGATGGAAAGGATGCATACTGTCCTTGGAAGCCAGTACAACAAGCTAGTGGCTTAGGCTAATACATGATAAGAGACTGTCTCCTAAAGTAATGCAAACTTTCCCATAAAGTCTCATACAGAATAATTTTACCCCCCCTTAGGCTTTTCCACTTTTAACATGTTTTTCCACTAAATGTAATTTATTGTAATGGATTTTCATAAAATACTCATGTTAGATGGTGCATGGTTTGGGAACAGGATGGAAAAGACTATGTGGCTTTCTCTTTGAAAGGACAAATAGCTGCAATGTAAAATGCATTTCTATTTGGCCTTCTTTTGAAAACCATAATTTTACTGCAATTAATGCTACAACTCTCAATTATAGAGCTCATAGACTTGCCATTTCTCATCTATGAGCTTCAGTCACATCCTATTCCTAGTCCAAAACTTCCATGTGATGTAGGTCATTGCAGCTCTTATACTGTAGCTGCAGCTCTTCTGGGAAAGCTGTCCACATGGTTAAACATGTTTATGGGAATGTTTGTGCATTTGTCCTGTCAAAGACTGATGCAGTATATGAAGGCCTGGCTCTCAGTCTACTCTAATGCATCCAAATGGTTTTCATGTTGAAAGTCTGCAATCCCATCAACATCAAACTCTCATGACTTTTGGACCTTACTGAGAGCACAAGCGGAAAGTCATGTTTCTAAAGTCAGTAGGTCCTCTCTAAACTGGTTTGCTGAGGCAGATGTTCTTTTACCGGGACTAAGCATCCAAGCCCAAATATTTGGATATTTATTTGGATGGTTGAGAAACTACTGGCTTAATAATATAGTTATGTCTCTTAACAGTTTAATGTGAAAACACTGAAATTTTATTCATTCTTTGCAGAACAGCTCAAGCTACCTTAGAATGGATAAATTAAACTTTGTTTCAAATTTGACTCCAGCTTTAATCTTTTATCACCTCTTACATTTCCTCTGTCAGGGTTGACCTCTGTCTGCCTCCATCCATCCTCTCATTAATGTTTACGAGCTTCCGTCTTTAATGAAGAAAAGCCTCCCCACACAATGCTGCCACCAACCTGTTCCACCATGGGGATGTTGTTTTTCCACACTGTGGATTGTATTTTTATTATTGTAGCAAACTGCAATATGGGACTATTCAGGCCAAAGTAGCCGCATAAATGATAGATGACAGAGCCTAAGCCTCTCTGCTTATTCTTTAAATCTCATCTTGTCTTGTCTTTCATTTGCCAATTCAGGCGTGGAGTTCCTAACCTTTAACAGTCTTGAATGTTGGATTGATCCCTGCAGTTCATAGAAAAGGTGTGCTCTATGAAAACAATACAAAAGGAGGACTCTAATAGGATTTTTAATGAAGGATATTGGCTGGATTAGGCTTTGATTTGATATCAGTAAAGAGGAATGAACACACACTGCACCCTGTCATGGTTTATTTAACATAACATAAAATGGGAGGAAATTTGTGCCAGTAATGTGACAAAATGCAGAAAAGTAATGATAGTGCTTAGATTGGACCAAAACAAATCTTGCTTTTGGTTTTTGTTCGTGCACTGCACCCACCTTATAACTAAACCTTGAATGTATTATCTTTTATACTCTTTCATTGAATCAGAAGAAGCATCCATATATTTAATCCAGCATATATTACAGATTTGTAGGTTAGATTCTAGTCCTAATCGGTTTAAAGACAAAATATTTCAATGAACGTTCTCAAAATATGTAAGCAAGATAAACCAAGCAAGCAAAAATCATTTGAATTATTAATTTAGCAGGTATTTTCTCACTGTCCAGACTGTATGATCAACATGTGCAAAAACAATGTGCATGCTGTTTATTCATTCTTCGCTTTTTATTTTTAAAATGATACTGACGCTTTAAAACAATATTTAGACTTAACCACACCAAAGTTTCTCTTCTGGGACAAATTTGCTGATTCATGGTTCAGGGGAAGTTGACACGACTTCATTATTTGTACATGACAGCTGGTCTAATGTGTGCCATCACAGAATAGAAATGTTCACCTTCAGATAAGTCATGGAAGCATGTTAAAGGAGTTCTTTTTAAACAGTTTGGAGTCTCCCAGTGGAAATCTGTAAAGAAAATGCTGGTTTCAGTCAAAGATAAAATTGTGCGTATGGTTTCAAGTGGCACATAAGGTTTCATTGACTATCTTTTATTGCTGCTCAGTCTTTTGTCTCTTTGTTGTCAGGACACAGTTCTGTAAAACATAAAGATAAATCCTGTGAGAAGATGCAAACAACTTTACCAAATAAACAATACAGTTAAGAATAAATTGTCTTGTATGAATTCTTGATTTTATGGTGTGAGATCTCCACCTGCTGGTGATTTCTGCTATTTCTGTTGCCTTGAGATGGCTGCTATAGTCACTGACCTGCTGTCGTGTCGTAGCTGTGGAAGTTCTCTGGAAAGTTCAGACATTTTGCTTGCTCCTTGAAATTTTCTACCACTTTGGGATTTAAATTTCCTGTCCTTGCTGGGGAAAAAATGACTTCAATGTAATCGAAGAACTTCTAGATATTACTGAAATATGCAGATGACAGCAGTGCTTACTAAACTGCATGATGAATCTGCCAGTGACATCCATATTACGGAAAGTATCCGTCCACAGCAGGCAGCCGGAGCAGGTCTGCAGGAGGTGTCCCTTGTGGTCCGACAAGTTTTCTATAAATGCAGGAAACCCTTTGATCATGAACAGTTGTTTTTATATGGAGATCCATTTAAATTAAATGTGTGTTTTTTCTTTTTCAGATAAGGAGGATTACTAGTGTTGCACATACTGCGAAATGTGGCCGTAAGCCCAGAGATGGTTGCATTTACTTTCCCAAAGATGCAGCGGTTACTGAAAAACAGATGGGAAACGTTATGTAAGCTTTAAATCAACTCAATTCCACGAAAATCCAAACATTTTTCACACTGCAGCGGATTCCTGAAGGATTCATGCCTCAAAAAGATTTCACCTTTTTCATGCTACAAACACCAAATTGTATGTATTTTATTAGAATGTGATTTGTCAAAACAAAAGCACATCTTTGAAGTTTGGTTTGCAATGATATTGTCTTTAACTCGTGGAAGAAAATCCCTCTGGCAGACAAAGTCTTGTCTGCAGTTTGTCACAAGCTGTGTAGGAGAAACCCTAAACATGTGGAGAAGGTACTGTATAGTAGAGTCAGATGAGATCAAACCCTAAACCCTCATGTCTACTTGTAAAATTATTTGCATGTTAGAAATTACAATAAATGTCAAAAGCTGGTAATGGCAGCATAATGCTTTGGGGCGGCTTTCATTTTCCTGTGCAGGTAGCTAGTACAAGTTAACAGGGATAAGGAGCGAGCTAACAACAGGGCATAGCGGGGAGACAAAAAACAAAACAAAAAAACTGCTCCTAAATGATGCTACAATGGCGTTGGCAGATGGCCGCTCACACTGAGCCTGGTTCTGCTGCAGGTTTCTTCCTGTCAAAAGGGAGTTTTTCCTCTCCACTGTCGCTACAAGCATGCTTAGTATGAGGGATTGCATTTGAGTCAATGAGTCGATGCAATCAACTGGTTTTCCTTAGAAAACTTTGAATCAATTTGACTGTATTATCTGGTGAAATGAAAAGTGTCTTGAGATGACATGTGTAGTGAATTGGCACTATATAAATAAACTGAATTGAATTGAAAGGTTTAGATAAAAGTATATTCAATTTCAATTCAGTTGAAGAAACCTCCAGCAGAACCAGGCTCAGTGTAAGCGGCCATCTGCTGAGGCCGACTGGGGTATATGCATGTGTTTTAGTGGCGTGGTCAAAGTTCAAATCATAATCAGCAGCAAGATTGTTAACTGATGTTTGAAAATGATTTCATTTAAGATATAAAGCTGAAGGAAACATGCTATCCAAAAACTAGCTACCATACACAGTGGTTCAATATTACATTGTTGAATAAAGACACTAATTTCTTTTAATATTCTTATCTATTAAGGAAAAAACTTTCAACTTTGTCTTCCACTTTATAATCATGCACTATTCTATCTTTGCCAATTACCGGTACATAAAAATCCTGAAAATTAACATTAATGTTAACAGTTGTAATCTTGTAAAATGTTTTTTTTTTTTAAATGTTTTTGGGGTGTCAGTACTTTTAGAAAAAAACTTTATATAGTGGATGGACTCACAAGCAGTAGTCCCCCCATCTCAGGGTCACAGTTAGGTTGTCAGAAGTGGGCTGCAGCTCAATCCAGGAACTTTTCATGTATTCCAGTGCTTTGTGGTATGTCACTGGATCACCTGCTCCCATCACATAAATCCATTTTCCAAATAACTTAGATCAAAAGTGTATGAGAGAAAAAACGCAAACGTTAAATTGTTCTCCACTGCTGGGATACGTTTAGAAGTAAACCAAAGTAAGCAGAACCCACCTGATCAGGCTCCTCCGGCATGTAAGGTTGAACCAGCTCCTCACAGTCCGGTGCAGATGCTGCACTGAGAGAAGCAAGAGTCAGCAGAAACCCAACAACAGACAGAGCCATGGTCAGACAGCAGATGTTACTGATCCTCCAACAAAAAACCCTCTGGTACCCGGTCATTTTCTCCACTGGGCTTTTAGACTAAAAGAAGTTGTTGTGTAAGTGCTAAAAACGAGGGAGGAGGCGGGTGTTCTACACACTGAAATACTTATGCAAAGCCTTTCCAGGAACCATTAGGACACATGCAGATCTCTTTGGGAGCAGCTCTGAAAGACCTGATCAATGCTCCTCTGTTGCAAAAACTTTCCCTCCTGAATGAACTCCGGCAGAGTGCCACAACTTTTCAATCGTCCAAATAAAAGATCTGACTGAGCTTTACATCAGCAAAGGTTGCTTTTCCGTTGGGCACTTTTGTCTCTTCTGCTGCATGTTACCCAGCAACAGGCTCTGCATTTCATTAGAGCTGCATCAGTATTAATAAGAAGTAAACAACAAAAATTATCAGTTTAAAAAGTTGAGAGACCATTTTGTAGAACAGAGAAATGAAAAAACTGCCTTTATTCATCATATACATCAATTAATCATACAAATAAAACTACATCAACATTAATGACATTTAACTGCCTTGGCTAAATTACAACGAATGGGTCTAATAGCCTATAGCAATATGCAAATGTAATTTAGTGCATGTTAAACTGGATTTGTGAGGGGATGGTGGACTGCCCACTGAGTGGCCTCATCTCTGTGCTCTAATCCTCAGCTGGCTGATTCTCAGTGTCATCCTCCTCTGTTTTCTGACCAGCAGGTGATGTTTTCTCCCTGCCATCTGGACACAGATCTGAAATAAAAGAAAATAATTACACCAATATAACTCTTTCCTCTGGTTCCCTTGGATTTTGATAAGACAAAAGAGTAACCTGTGTTTACGAAGTGATACTCTGGGAGAAATCCAAGACATTCTGCCTGCTTTTTGAAGGTTTCCAGCTCAGACGGCTGCAGAGCACCAGTTCGTGCTTTAAAGAGATGGATCATGTTAAAATGTTACCCAAACACAATGCATGTCACTTCAATGATGCAACAAAGGGTAAAGGAAAAGTGTCTCACTGAAGAGAAACAGGTAACGGCCCTTTGATTTGCCATCAGGGAGGAGGGTGGTGTCCTCAGACAGGAGGCAGTCGCTGCATGTCTCATAATACTTTCCATCATGATAGGAAGTGTGACCATTGATTATGACTGTAAAATATGAGGAGACGTCTCAGTTCATGGTGCATTTGGGATGATTTGTCTGCATGCTACATCCACGCAGGACTGACTCAGGAAAACAATTCACTGATTATTTCAAAACACATACAAGCGGTGTGGCTTGTTATTCCTGATATAGTGATGTTTGCTGCACCCTGGAGACACTTGTCTTCATTACTGTGAAAGAACAGCAGTCAATATCAACCCTTTAATTCACAATGAAAACCACAGACCAGATCAATAACACTTTAAACGGTCAGATAGGGCCATTAAAAATGAGCAGAGTCCTTACAGACGGTCGGCCCAGTACAGGGCGATGACCCCGCTGTCAGAGGTGGGGGACAGGTCTACCCAGGAGCTGTGAACCGACTGCAGGTCGGACTTCAGGCCGTGCTTGTCCCAGGAACCAACGTGGAGCACCCACTTTCCATAGATCTGAACATGAAATTACATGTCAAAAATGTTGAGTCATATTTTATGTATTGCTACAAAATTGTAATTACTTAAAATGTTGGATTTCTATTCCAAAGTTTTAACTGTTTGATTTCCTTATTACTGTATTATAAGATTTAATAACTTATTTATCTTATTTGATTGATTATTCATTGCACTACTATTTTAATTTAGTAAAATCATTTAGTATTGCAGTGTTGCTTCTAGTCTTTACGTCCCATGATCTTTTACCTATTATTACAAACAACACAAAAGGATTTACTTTTCACTTTTAAACATTTATTTAAAAGAAAAAGGAAGGATTCACATAAAT